GTATCGCCCACTTTGGGAACCTCTGCTCTACACTGTGGCCAGACATTTCCTCATCTAGAGGACATGCTGGACTATAATTTGAACTTGGTTTGGCTGCTTTCCCCAAGCTTCCTTAACAAGATCCATAGGATTCCTCAGGGTTGATGCCCCTTCCAGCATTCCAAAGGGCAAAAGTCCCAGTGGAAGCCTTATTGTGAAGAAAAGTTAAGGCAGAAGTTTATCCCAGTCCTTTTCATCCAATGCCACAAATTTTCACAATGTAAGCTTGAGACATTTGCTAAAATTTCTAAGTAGACTGTCAGTCTGAGGTTCAGAGTGACTTAACTTTAAGGGTGTCCCAAACCTTTGGGCAAGACAAAGTTGGTCCCTAGGTCAGACTCTCAGTGGGCAGCTCAACCAGAGTAAAGGTTTTTGAATTAGTTCTTCAGCTAATCTAGGCAGAGTTAGTTACACAAGTCCTCCATCAAGCAACAAAATAAACAAGATTACTAGTCTCAGCAAACTGATTGTGATTCATCTGCAGACTCAGAATTATTTGCTGATGAAATTCAAGACTACGTCCAACTAAAAAATAAATGTGAGAATTTTGTGGACCATACCCACAAAAAATAAAGGTAAAGTTTGGCAAATGGCACACAGTGAATTTTTGCTTAGTTTTAATTGTCGAGGGGCAGTGAACTTGTGACTTGTCTGGCATATCACTCCTATCATGCAGTGCTAAGTACAACCAAAAGGCTATGTAAAACTAAAACAACAAGAATCATTTTGGGGCACTCGGTCCGTATTACAATTTTTTTTTCTCTGTCTTTACAGGAATGACATGCCAAGCGCGAAGTTCTTATGTAACCAGTGAGATCCTGTGGGGTCATCGTTTTACACCTGTCCTCACGCTGGAGGATGGATTTTATGAAGTTGATTACAACAGCTTTCATGAAACATATGAGACCAACACACCATCTTACAGTGCCAAAGACCTGGCAGAGATGGCCAGCCGAGTAGAACTGCCCCTGACTTGGTCTGTGTCCAGCAAACTAAACCAGCATGCTGACCTGGAAACTGAAGAGAGGGGAAAGAACCATGAAGACCAAACTGAAAGGAATGGTGACGTGGCAAACTTAGAGAATGAATCCAAAGTTTGAACCAGCAGAAGTTCACCACACAACCTCTTTTTTCTTTTTGATCCTTCCCTTTTTTTATTATGATGACAAGAAAAGAAATATTTAAGGTTTGAAATGTCTACCTGCCCAAACAAATCAAGAGATTCATAAAATAAGCAAAGACGTGGGTTAAAGCTGCAATATCCCTTATATACAATGAAATCTCTGATCACTGCCCTTCCAATAATTGCATATTTCCTCTGGATAAATACAAGTTTATGACCACAGGTGTGTTTAAAAAGGAACCAAAAAAGGGGGGGGGGAGCAAGACTCAGTATCTGGGATAATAAAAGGAAAGACTGTGATTAATGTTTGCTAATACCATGGGGCTTGGCTCTAATTTTTATATATTTCAAGACAGTTTCATAAACAGGATGTGATGCCTCCAATGAAAATGGGCATTGCAGCTTTAAGACCGAGGTGAGCAGAAAGAGCTGCAGTTCAACAGGATACTGTATATATGCCTTATGTAATTACTTTCTCTTTACATTTAGTAATAAACCCAGCATGTACAAAAGTACTGTAGTAAAGAACTTCTAAATAATGTACATAGATGTGTAATTAATGTAGGTTTAGATACATAATTCTAGAAATATTGGGATGCAAAAAATTGAATAGGCATTTCTGTTTTAATATTTGGAGTATATTAGTTTCTCTCCTATATATCTGGCCCTTTTAGTGCACAACATTTTCTTCAGTGTACCAGACTGGCAGCTATTTAGACCTCACTGTTTCCCTAACAAATCATTTTACTGATTCTAAAAAGCCATAAATCTGGGGGGAGGGCAGGGTGGAGAAATTGAAACCTTACTGATATACTGTGAAACTGTTTACAAAAATGATTCTATCTTTTGTAATATTATAGGGTAAACCATTCCTGGCTACTTTTGGCAGTTCAGCCTGAATTAGACTGTGGCAGATTCTTGGAAAACACAAGAATCTCTAGTACACTGTTAATATAAAAAGCATGTTCATGTTGGGCTAGGACCCTGTAAGCAGGGCCGGCTCCAGGCACCAGCTTAACAAGCAGGTGCTTGGGGCGGCCAAGGGAGAGGGGCGGCACCTGCGGCAATTCGTGGGCGAATTTAAGGCTGCTCTAGGAGCGAAGGACCTGCCGCTGAACTGCCACCGCTGATCGCAACTTTTTTTCTCTTTTTTTCAATTGCTGCCGCTGATCGCGATCGCGGCTTTTTGGGGGGGGGTGGCAGAAATGCTGGAGCCAGCCCTGCCTGTAAGTGCACTACCGTGGGAAGCTATTCTTTTTTCCCTAAACCATTGGATTAAAACTATGTAGTTTTCTATATAAACAGTATAAGCCATTAAAAATTCTGAATGTTATTCATAGGCTAAGTAGAGAACACTTTTAGCTACTCGGTCTGGGAAGAAAGAATTGAATTTCATCTGAAGTTGTAGTCAATGAGATTCATTTGTTAACATCATTAGCACTTTGTTGGTCCTGAAAATTCCCAAAAGGCTTTATGGCCCTAGGTAATTTTCATCAGGGTTTCTCATATAAAAGCCCACTCCTGACAACTCTCTTCAGGTGAGTGGACCCTCCCACCCGTACTCAGATTGGGCCAAATCCTCAGGCTGGTTTAAATAATTTTGATTTGATGCACCAGAACTATGATGATTTGCCTGATTTACACCAGCTGAGCATCTGGTCCATAGAGTAGTACCTAACTTCTCAAATACACTCAGTGTGGGGTGACTCACAGTGTATGGTATTACTCAATGTAAGGATTGTCGCATCAGGCCCTGTGTGCATAAAATCGTATTAATTCAAATAAAAGTCTGCCATTGACTTTAATGGGCTTTGGCTCTGGCCCATAAAGAGTACTATTTCCCTCAGTCAAGAGAAAAACAAATTGCAGCCTTAATTTTCTTTTTGTACCTGCCTAGTCTGGAAAGGAAAAATACACTGAAAAGAATTTAAAGTTATTTTGGGTTTTGTTTGTACAGAAGCTTTTAAATTCAAATAGAAGAAAAAACCTCAGGAGAAACCTAGTGGGCAGGTGGAAATTTTGCACTGTGATATATCCTTCACATTAATTTCACATCTATACACTGTTTTTACTGCAACACAATTGCCCATCCTTTATTTTCATTGAGTGGTTAAGAGTTGATTTGGCTCCTACAGCTATGATTGCCTCCAGGCGGAGGTTTTGCACACCTCGATCACACCAATCAAAACAGCTAAGCCTTGTGTCTGCTTTATTTCTGAAAATTTTCCCTACCAGGTTTTCACAAAGAAGCTACTCATACAATTCCACAATTTAAGCAATTGTTCAAAAGCTGTATTTTCATCCCCTCCACCAGGATGACTGATTTCATCAGGTAGTTACAGATTGTTGCTTATTTTCATTTAGTTTGGTGAAATAAAACTGGTTTTGCTACAGACCCTTTTAAAATACAATGGTATCCTTTGTTTACTGACACAGTGTCAGAACCTGCTCAGTACTACGGTTTATACAGCACACCCTGTCTTTAAGGCTGCTCTTGAGAGCCAAGGAATTCACACAGTAGAGCAGGGTGTATGCGTGCTTCTTAAGGTGTTTTAAGGGAAGAGTCACTCTGAAATTTCATTGGAGAACAGTAGTCACATATCAGAGGTAATCTTATAAGGGAGAACCCCGTAGCAAAGGTACTTGCTAAAAGTAATGAAGCACAGCCTGCGGGGGAGGGGGGGCTCAGCCTGTGTGTGTCAGCCTGTAGTACATGAGTTTAAAGCAAAAAACTCCTCTTAGGATGAATCTGCTTTTTGCTCTTGTAATTTACTGGGCCATTCTATAATCCATCGCTGCAGTTTAAGAAGAGCTTGTCGTGTTCAATAAAACAGCGTTTTTTAAACCTTTTTGTGCCCTTTAGTACAAAAAAATAGACTTTATGCTAGTGGGGCATGTGCATGGGTAAGTTATATTTTTGTGACTAGGGCACTTAAAGTTTAAGGTCTCTCTCTGTCTCTCATGGTCTTTGCTATTCATGTGGTATGAAATGTAAAGTTTACAAAAAATCTCATTTTTGTAACGTAAGCTTAAAAATGAAAAGTCTCCAAGGCTTTCAACTGGGAAGCTTCACAGAAACTTTGTACTAGAATGTCCCTATCAAACACCTCTATTTTTCTACAATGATTGATTAAGCCGTTTAACGATGTATTTTGTGTCAACAATTTCAACTGAACTGTTAAAAACAATTAAGAATTGAATGCTGTTAATTAACAATGGATTTTCAAAGCTGACCGTAGTGAGTGGTGTTTTTCATTACTACAGTATATACACTTACCTGATAATTTTGACTCATGCTCTTATTAAAACAATATATTTGGAAATGTCAATGCTCAGTAATATTGTGGGCAAATCAAATTTAAGGAACATAAATAATGTGACATTTTTATGTAAGTAGCTACATAAGCAACCAAAATCCATCCAAGATTTTGCTCCTATTTCTCTGTATTTCACTGATATACTAAGGTATCTTTTTCTTAAAATCTAGTGTGAAATTGATGAGCAAGTGACAATATTCAAAGATAGATGCAATCTTTCAGCTTTTTCATACTGCTAGATTCTGCCTACTTAGGTAGCTACAGTACGCTAGAGTACTCTAGCTTAGGTACACTAGAGCAGTTTCTTTGTATTGACCCCTTCCAGATGACTATAGTGCAACTCTCAATCTTTTTACTGGATAGCAGGGGTTTCTGGTTCATGTTCATTTTTCCCCACCCACATTTTCTGGGTCAGTTCATCAGCTGGTGTAAATTGGCACAGATGTACTGACTTTAATGGAGCTACATGAATTTATACCACCTGAGGACCTGACCCTCCATGTTTATTTTAAAGCAAGTTCTGGTTTATTATTTTAGGAATAAAAATGGTATTCCTTACATTACATCAAAGCTGGCCACTCTGGAAATTGAACCTCTAGGCCCTGATCCTGTAAATACTTAAACACGTGAGTAACGTTATGCACATGAGCAATCCCACTGAAGTCAATTTGTGTGAGCAAAGTTACATACAAGTGTAAGAGTTTGTGGGTTCAAAGGCATAGTGAGAATGGTAGATCTGTAAGCATCACAGACTCCCTCTGCAAACAATTTTCAACAATGCACGAATTTAAGATTTGGGGTATTTTTGGTGTATGTTTCATCAAAATCTATTCTGACATTTTTGCTGAGTGGCATTTAAATTTGAAAATGGAAACCCTATTTATAACTTTAAAAAGAAATTTCCTATGTATAAAGTGACTTTCTGATCACATGGCAATGATTTTAGTCACCCTTTCTATTTCCCACTAGGAGAAAGTATACCATTTTCTTTTAATAATACCGGAAAGGCAGGAGGTGGCACTAAATCTTAGAGTCTTAATTCAGACTTGCTCCAAATATCCTCGCTGTATTCAAGAGGCTGAGATGTAACAACCCTTATTTTGTATCTAGTGGGGATTTCTAAATAAGATACAATGGAAAAATTTCAGTATTTTCTGTTCTCAATACATCTTTGCTTTCCGACAGTTTTGAAGATGGAATTCTTCTGAAATTCTGATACTATGTGACATCATTGTGATAACATGATGCAAATCACATACAACAACAAAAATACAGCTGGACTCTCACTATGAACAGGGGCGGATTAGCGTTTTGTAGGGCCCCTGGGAGTCCCCCTCACCCCTCTCATGGTGTTCACAGGAGTAGGCTTGGGGGCTTGCCCCATTCTGCCCAGCATTCCAGCTGGGTAGCGGAGTCAGCGCACGGGGGCTTGCTCTGTTCTGCCCACCCACCTGCCCCCCAGGTGCTGAGTGGGCAGAGAAGGGAAAGCCTCCATGCTTCGATCCCACTCCCTGGCTGGAGCACCAGGCGGGCAGAGCGGATCGGGGCGTGGGGACACCCATTTTTCTGGGGTTCCCCAATTGGCCAGGGCCCCTGGGCATGGGCTCCGTTGGCCCAGTGGCTAATCCGCCATTGACTATGAGGAAAGGGAATGACATTAATGACAGTTGGGGGGACAGTTTGACACCGATTTGGACTTTGTGATCTAAATTATTCTTAATGAGAGAGCCTAAGGATCAATCTTGTTTAGTTTAAAGGATAGTGTTTCATGCCCCTTAACAAAAATTTAAACTAAATATTAAAAATATAGATACTAACAATATATCCATCTTCCCTCTCTCCCACCCCCCACTTCAAACTCCACTGGATTTCCAGAATCACTTGTATGGGTGACTATAGCGTAATCGAGTCCTGCTTCACCATTAGCAGGAGTGTTGTAAGCAAGACACGAGAAGTCATTCTTCCGCTCTACTCCATGCTGATTAGGCCTCAGCTGGAGTATTGTGTCCAGTTCTGGGCGCCTCATTTCAGGAAAGAGGTGGACAAACTGGAGAAAGTCCAGAGAAGAGCAACAAAAATTATTAAAGGTCTAGAAAACATGACCTATGAGGGAAGATTGAAAAAATTGGATTTGTTTAGTCTGGAAAAGAGAAGCCTGAGAGGGGACATGATAAGTTTTCAAATACATAAAAGGTTGTTACAAGGAGGAGGGAGAAAAATTGTTGTTCTTAACTTCTGCAGACAGGACAAGAAGCAATGGGCTTAAACTGCAGCAAGGGAGGTTTAGGTTGGACATTAGGAAAAACTTCCTAACTGTCAGGGTGATTAAGCACTGGAATAAATTGCCTAGGGAGGTTGTGGAATCTCCATCATTGGGTATTTTTAAGAGCAGTTTAGACAAACACCTGTCAGGGATGATCTAGATCATACTTAGTTCTGCCTTGAGTGCAGGGGACTGGACTAGATGACCTCTCAACATCCCTTCCAGTCCTACACTTCTAAGATAATTCTCTCAGAGATTTACTGTATGTTGATTCCCCAGATGGCATGTAGCAGCATGTAGATGTAACACTGTTATCATAGCAAAAGACAAACTGTGTTCTAAAACCAGGCAGAGTATGTATTTCATCTCACAGGTGTGAAATTAGTTTTCTATTTTAAGCAAATTGACAAATACACATCACACTTCTGGCCCATTCCCCCCTAATGTGAGAATAACCCACACAGCAGAGTCAAATTCAGAGTTTCAGCTTGTGTAATCTGCTTTGAATTCTTCTGTCAGATGGGC